TCGATGCCCGGTATGGCTCTAGATTGAATGGCGGTCAGTAGCGCAAACAGGAAGACGCTGATAAAGACCCAACCTGCAGGTGCCGCAAAATTTTCTGCTTGCTGGCGAACCCATGGTCGCCGTGGCGCGAGCAGCCTTCCCAACAACAATCATAGTGCGCACGGCCGCCGCCGACATGATCAACGGTAATATGAGTCGTGAGCGCATCACAGGAAGAGAACGTCTGCATACACCCAAACCAACGGCATGCGTGTGCGGAGGGTGCGGTACAATCGTGCTCGGGGAGCGGCGTCGGCGGCCTATGGGAAGAGGCCACCGAAGGTGTGGGTGAACTGGAGTGCGGAGAAGGAGACGAAAAGGTCGAGGGCGTCGGAAGAGAATGCGTCAATGCCGTGTGACCGCGGGACTCTCGCGCGTCGGCGGGCGAGCGATCTGTCTTGGGCAAACGCGTGGACAATCCAAGATGATCTTGGAGTAGGTGCGTTGCTAGCAGACCTATCGCGTTGTCAGCAGAGCTGCTCGTCGAAGATCCGGGGATAGACTGTGACGTCGGATAGATCTGGCAATCGGCCCACATACAGGCTAGAGCGTTAGCATCATACCCTCCACGAGCACCTGAAATGCCTGGTACGGATTGTTGCGTTTGCGGAATATGCGAAGAATCAGATGCGCGGGGTAGACGTAAGTGTTGAAGGTTGACATGTCCGACAAGTTCTTCGAGGGATGGAAACGTTTCAGAGCAACCACCCCATTGACATCCATAAAAGGTCGACGACTGGGACTGGGATACTTGAGCCGGCTGAGAATCGGACGGAAATTGATGCTCTGTTGCGGTGTATACTGATCCATGATCCATCGATATGCCAGGGGTATGATGAAAAATCGCGTGTGATGGTGGTGAATTTGAAGTGATGGAATGTAGATTACCACTGTTATGCTGCGGGTTCACTAGGTGTGTAGGATCGGTGCAGCCGCGTAGTAAGGCAGCAAAGGATGGATCCCATGAGAATGTGTTGTTGGAGGACACCATATCGGTAGAGAAGCCTTTTTGTTCTGATGAATATTCGTGATAATCGGTGCAACACTGGAACTACACCGGACGGTGAATGAGGGGTATGGAGTTCAAATTAAATCGGACGTACGAGTTCGTCCCATCCGGTGCAGTCTGCCCCGCGGGGGCAGGGAGCGTCGCAATGTCCGTTTGGTGGATTCTGGTTGCATTGGGCCACGGGATGATGGGTGTCGTTGCAGGCGATGACGACACATTGGTCAGTACATTCCTCGCTCAACCTCAACTCTGCCGCACAGGGTGCATCGGCACAGGTGTGGGCACACTCTTCGCAGGCGATAGGAAGAACGCTGCTGGGTGCAACAAAAGAGCCACCTGTATGATTATTCTGGAAGACAGTATGACTCTGCATGTCCTGAGAGGTGGGCTTGGATGCTACAGTCGTCCTCAGGCTGGAAAAAGGTGGGAGCGACTGGCGAGGGAGAGGGAGAGGAGAGAGGGGAAAGCGAGAAATGCGTCGTTTGTCGTCGTCTGGTGAAAAGGACGAAGAAAAGGCAGCCAGACGGGGATAGGCGGCAGATGGCGGGAGGGAGGGTGAAGCAGCTGAATGCCCCATGGTCGCGTCGAGGAGAGAGTACCCGTCCGGTCAATGAACGCGGAGGTCCTCGCTTACGTCAGAAGCGCTCGCCCACGAGTGGTGGCAGCAGTGGTACCGCAGCTCCGAGTCGGAGGGCCACTGTGCAGTGGCCCGGGGTGTGCCAGACATCATTCCGCCATGTACAGCACGAAAGGCAGAGCATCCAGTCCACATTCAAGTTTCTACTGCAGTAACTCCAGCGACGGCTCTGCCTTCCTCACGAGCAGGCCTTCAGCAGTGCGTCGAGTAACAGATGCCGAGCACTGATGTGAATATCGAAACGTTCGAACTCCCTGGGCCCAGTCACAAGATCACACCACACGGGCCTTCACGCCAAACGAAGAGACAGCTTGATTCGATGAAGGACATACCAGCGATGATATCAAAGGCGCGGACTGATCTGACATTGTCAATCATCGTTTAATAAACATTCCATCGCGGATTCCTTGCTCCGCCCAGGAGGCAGCGGCAGCCTCATTAGCTAGCTGCACGAGATCAAGCCTTTTAGAGCCCATTGATGGACCTGCATATCCAAGTGAGAGATTGGTAACCCAAGCACACCACCGACCCCGCGCGTGTGAAGCCTACCCGGTTCAGCACAAGACTAAAGCACGTAACCCATTCACAAGGTTTACCTGGAGTCTAGATCAGTCTCCAGTCCAACCTAGCCGTCGCAAGTCCTTCTTGCACTCTTCCGCCTCCTTCTTGACCCGGGCCATATCCGCGACCACCTGGGCAAACCCGCCCTCCCGCCTGTCCACAAGCCCAAGAAGGCCTTCGTATAAAGCGAACTTTGCACCAAGATAGTGTTCTTCATTCTCCTGCGCCCGTTCCCTGACGCGGAGCTTGTTGTGGGCAGCTGCAAGCGCCTGGTTCATGGTATCACCGGGCGCTTTATAAGAGCTGTGGCCGTACAGCGCAATGTGAGCTCGGGAGCGGAGGATGGACAGCTTGAGCAGGGCTGCCTCGATGGAGATGGCGGTAACGTCCGCCTGCACAGCGCGGGTGGCATTCACTAATAAGGGCAGGGTGGTGAGCGCATCCAATAGTTTTCCCCCAACCTGGATGTATCTGGAACGAACAAACAATTCAAAGATCCGAATGCCCTTGTTCTCGGCGGTGCGCGGACGTACCGCGTTTATCTGTCCTACGAGTTTCTGTATACGTTCGTGTTGATCTCGAACGAGAGACTCGTGACCAAAAGTCCGCTTTTGCCTCGCCCGAATTTCATCTGAGAGTCCCGAGGCAAATCCGAGTAACCCATCTCCATCTGTTTGTTCGCGCGAGATGTGAAGGTCAGCCCTGCAAAGAACGATAGCGCTGCACCTGGATCGCTGTCTATATCACCTGCATAATAATCCGCAATAGATAGCAGGGTCGTCTTCAGAGCAGATTTCGGTTTGGCAGCATTCTGGAGGGACAGCTGACAGCGTAGCGCTTCATTCAGTCTCGGAGCACGATGGGAAAAGGTACAGCAACAACTCACCAAAGAGCTAGTCAATGTAAGGATGTCTACCTCGTCCCTAGATATTCCTCCAAGGCGAAACGTCCGTGCACCGCCATCTCCAGAAGCAATGTTGCTGTTGACCGCCTCATTCGCGCTTATCGTAGTATTTTCCAGGAGGTAAATAGCAGATGCATACGACAATCCGCGCGAAATCTCAGATCTCAGAGCTTTCGCTTGCATGGTCCTGCACCACTTGCTGGAGGTGGTCGTACAAGATCCTAGTCCTGAGATATCTGCGCCTGTGCTCACTCGACTGGGATTGTTCATACGCATATGCCATGGAATGAGGAGTGAGAGGAAATATGTCTTCAATGCCCACAATCCCTGTTCGCATTCGAGTCTCAGGCTGCAGAGAGAAAAACGAAGAAGCACTTGCAAGGTGGGTCAATTGTGCGGCAAACCCGTGCGCGAGTTTCCACCACAGAATTTCCCAAGTGTGGCCCATCAATTTCAATCTGAGATTGTTGTTAGTGATGAGGATGCAAGCGGCGGACTAAGGCTCCGTACATGGGAGGTGTGCCATGTTCCACTGGTTGTATAGTGCGAAGTCTGTCCGGACCGTTTCATGTACTTCTGAATTAGCAGCTAGTATTCTCTCGGCGTTCAAATGTTCACTGTTCTGGATTCTTATGTTTGCATCGATACATGCGAGGTCATTAAATCGGTACAGATCGTTGTGTGCAGAAGACGTAACCATTACTGATTAACCAGTGCGAAGCAAAATATTACTATCCTCCAAGCATACCAGCCTATTACGCGGATACCATGCTGACACGAATTGTGATTACACAACCTACAAGTACCTAGTGTACCGTACTAATCCTTTTCAGTGGAGCTGTTCTTGTCCAAAGTATGATCAGTAATCTCTATTATATCGCGGAATATCTCAATATTTTCCTACTCCGACGTCACCGTCAACATAAGGTCACTTGTCAAGAACCGGTAAAGATTATGCGTACCGGTCTGGACGATCCGCGACCACCACGTAACTCGATGTCGACGAAGCTAGAAGGTTGCTTCCGCTCAGGTTTATGGTGTTGTCGTGCGTCCAGCCTATACGAAAGTTGAGCACCATCAGTCTAACCTAGCATACAGGACAAACACCGCACACAGCGATGAGCGAATTCGCGTAAACTTTTTAGTGCGTCAGTGAAGAGAACAGCCGATCTAAATAATGCGTACGTTTGCTCTGGACCGTATATAGTCCGCCAAAGATAAGACTGTGCTTCAAGGCCAGCGACCAAAACTGGGTACAGATTGCGTAAGTAAAGCATGCAAGCGACTTCAACGATGGCTTGCAGTACCGTAACAATAGTTGCTATCGAAACACATCTTTGGGGCTTTGAGTCACACACCCTCAACGAGCAGATTTGACTTACATTGTCAGAGCACCAGTGTTGATGATGTATGTCATCAATGTCCTAATCAAATGGTCTGTCCTAACACAAATCAAAACAGTTGAAATGTCAGTCCAAAATAGTGCAGTAGATGCTTACGCCTGATAGCCTGTACGGCTGATCCAGAGATAATAAACCTGGCTGAAAGCGATGAGTGCGTCTAGAATAACCGTAAAACCGAAACCACATGTGGCTGTGATCTACGGTGAGAACAATATAATTGTCAATGGCTTTTTCGTTTTAGGTATTCGACTGAACAACACACTAGACTTGCACGGGATGCTTTGAAGTCGGCCCAGGTTTGAGATTTCCACCTGATGATATTGAGCCAAAGATGATGAAGCAAAAAAGGAATGGAATATGACGTACAATACACTCCCAGTTGCTATAACAGACGCCATAATCAAAATCAGGAAGTGGAACGTGACGGAGGCGTTGTGATTAAGCTCGTACCAATCATAAACACTAACGCAGGATTGGTCAGTTTCTCGGCCAAGATAGCAATGATTACCACAGACCGACGGGCAAGAAGACCAAGATTGCCTTTGCGATGTTCAGGCTCAAATATTCGAACCCTCGAAAAGAGAACTCGCCAGTGTGGAGACTAGTACAACAGACTTTCTACTCACTGTGAATATAAATTGATATCATCAGTAAATGTGTATGAAAATATGCAATGACATACATATCCAGATTCGCCAAATGAAAAAGCTGGGCGGATGAACTATGAGACACCGCTAGGGAACAAGTACAAGTCTCACCTCTGAACCAAGCCTGCGATCACGGCCTGTGTTTGGAGTCAGTCATTGAGCATGCAATGGAGCTAATCCCATTACAGGAATCTTACTTCTACAGCTATTGCAGCCTGTATCCCAAATGTGGCTTACTTCCTTGAAATGAGGTGGATGTAAAATTTGGAACCTACCCCGTCGTCCCTAAGGAGAACATCAAGTATGAACTCATGGAACCAGAAGACAAAAATGAGCGTACCAAATGACACGAAGAATGCCTTCAAGGCTCCCGAAGTTGATTATTGTGTAGTAATAACTGATATGTATACAGAATGCTGTGTGCAAGGATTCTAAACACCTTCAAACGAGTTGAATAATAAGAGAATATGTTTTGCAGCTGAAGCTGACGATCTTACTATACAGATGCAACTAATGTGCGAAGTAATCTTGAGTCATCCTGCGATGTCCACCAGTAGAAGTATTCCTGTGCGGTGAGAATCCCGTACAGACTTGAGACCGGGATATCGTGAGTAAGCCAGGAGAATCTGAGGTAGGACGCAGTAGGAACATACAGTACAGCAATATCTATGCCAACTGTAAAGCCGCCCATAATCTCTTCAGTAGATGGTGAGGCGATGGCGGGCATCTTGAGTCCGAACTATTTCGTGAAGTGAGACATGGCACTCGCATAATTTATGAGGAGCACGTCGATAAGTACCGTAACCAAAGCTCGCGAACACCTTTAGCGCTAGATACTGTAGACGTAAGGCTGAGCTGTCTTCTCCATAGCAATGTTCGTGTGATGACAGCACCATCTTGATTCAAGCATAGCCCGTCTAGAAATCCGTGTTGTGGTGTCCTCTCTCGGCCGCAAAAGCTAATTATGTGCTCCCTCAAGTTCTATACGGATGGGACAGGGGCAGAGAATGGCACATAGCAAACGGGCCCCACGGCCGCGTTCCATTGTAAGTCTGATCATCAGCAAAATGACACCTGAGACACCGGATTTGGGAACTTGCGCCAGCCACTTGGGCTGCTCTTTCGGTGTGCAGAGGGTATGAATTGATGACACTTACCAATCTGAAAGGCATTTTTGAGTAGGTTGTGAGAAGATAAAAAGTCGTTCAGGTTGTTCAGCAGATTCACCTGAAATTCAGGTTAATCCAGGCGTATTTCAGGTCCAACCAGGTCCAATCAGGTGCATCAACAGATACATCTCATTCTGCCGATGTCATTCGACTCCTGCGTCAATCAACGTCTAATCATGTGCACGCTACGATGAGGGCCAAGCTACTATGGCATCCACGGAGTAGATAGCCTTATAGTTTCATTTGTTTTTTTTTCTTTTAATATAAGTCAATGACATTGATGAGGTGTGATGCAGTACGATAGCTTGGACACGAATAGAGAATTCAAAAGTTTTGAAAATGTATAACATGTTTGTGCGATTAAACCATGCTACAGTGGCGGTTGAAATCACTATTTAATATGTCACAACAGCCCATATCCATGGACTCCGATGTAGTTGAAACATGTGCATCAATTGATACGGTCACTACCGGTACAAGTAAACTTCGTTCGTCGACAGTTCATCACTGCGGGAGGTGCCGTCCAAACATGAAATTGACTGCCGAGCTTTATCTAAGACTCTTGCATCTGTTGCCCTTGCCTCAATGTTCTGTTTCCCCATCAGATAAAGCTGCAAGAACATGGAAAGTGGGACGTACCGCAGGAGCTCGAAGAGCCTGAGGCCTGAGACCTGGGCCTGAGTACCCATGCATTCACGTGCACGTACATTGGGACTACACGACCTACCTACACGCACTACAAGCCGCATGTTGTGACCTGCCCTGCAGCCAGTCGCCGGGACGGGCCTCTAGGCTCTGAATCTAGCGCGAGTGTAATTTTTTTGAAATGAAGTGTCGTAGTAGTCGCTTCAGCGCTTGACCATATCATGTAATAGCAACTCATGCTGTTGATGCAGCACTTGTGCCTCTTTCAAACTCTTGAGCTCTCTGGTCTCCGACCACCTCCTGAGTTCGCGCTCGTCTTCTTACTGGCTCAGTCTGAATAAAAGCACGTTCAAATCGGTTCCCAGGTTGCTGTCTCAGCAGGCGATGTAGGTTATTCCTATAGCATCCCACCATTGCTCGAAGAGCACCTCATACGGCACTGCTCCAAAGTCTTCTGACGATAAAGCTCCCACTTCCGGCGGATTATGAAGGGTAGATAATAAGGATGCCGGTGGTGAGCCCGCGACGGACACTTGGAGGTGAGACTAAACTACGATGCCAGGCCTCGTTGCAACACCGGCCTTTCCTGAGGACGTGCCCACGCATCCTCTGCTCATCGTCGACTATCAGTTGATCAAAAATGGAGAGGCTGACGAATGCAACAAGTTGTGGAAGGCCACGACTGAGCTCGGTTTTTGGTAGTACGTCCTGCGCCACAATCGTCACTGCTGAACACCTAACGCGAAGTTGTGTACCTTGAAGAACCACGGGGCAGACGAGGAAGTGGACACGATGTTTGAAATGGGCGCAGAGACGATGGCCCTGCTGCTCGAAAAGAAGATGGAGTATGAGCAAGGGGACGAAGGCATGTAGTTTGGGTATGGAGTCAGACGTTTCGCGCAGGTCAAGGTTACTGACCAGGTCGCTCAGATACAAAGCAGCGGGCGTGAATGCGATCAACGAGAAATGCAACCTCGATTCCACAGAGTTTATCAACATTTCGAAGGACGACGTGCTCGCGTTCCCAACACCCATTAATCGTACTTACCCCGCTACCGTCACCGCCCGAATGGAAATCGCAGTGAGGCCATTCGTGGAGAAGTCATTAGAGGTCAACGGCACTCTCA